GCCGTGGGGGGCCGGCCGTGGCTCCCGGCCCTCCAGCCGCGGCTCTCTGGCCTCCAGCCGGGGCTCCCTGAGCTCCATCAGCTTCACGGACATCTACGGCCTCCCGCAGTACGAGAAGCCCGACGCCGACTGCGGCCAGCTTCTGCGCTTTGACCTCATCCCCTTTGACTCCCTGGGGCGAGATGTGCCCTTCTCAGACCCGTCAGGCCACTCGGGCTTCCACAAGCAGAGGCGGTCCCTGGACACGCCCCAGTCCCTGGCTTCGCTGTCTTCCCGCTCCTCCCTGTCCTCCCTGTCGCCCCCAAGCTCCCCCTTGGACACACCCTTTCTCTCCGCTTCGCGAGACTCGCCGCTGGCCCCGCCGGTGGACAGCTTTGAAGTGCCAGGCCTCAGCACCCTGGACAGACTGCGGGCTCAGGCCTCAGCCCTGGGCGACGAGGATTTGCAGGGCACGGCGCTCCTTCAGCCACACGGACTCCCCGGGGATGGGGAAGGGCCTCGAGAAAGAGGACCCCAAGTGTCTGGTGGCCCCGTGGTTGGAAGTAAGTGTCGACAGGTCCTCGCAGGAAGCAGGCTCTGGGACTCAGGGAGGCTAGCATGTGCCACTCGGTTGGGGCGGGCGGGCTCCTTGGGTCCATGGTGAACACCTGCTCTAGGCTTCTGGGCCTGTTGGCGGGAGGTGCCCCACGCTGGCAGAGCAGCCTTGCCCAGGGGACTTAAGTGCCGAAACAAGGTCCGCACCACTCGGTCCTCGTCCAGGACAGGGAAGGCCTTAGGCAGCTCGCAGGGGCATGGCTTTCTCTCTTTACATCTGTCCTCGTGACGCTGGAGGACGCAGCTGTGTCAGCTTGATTCCGAGCCATACTGGTAAGCACCAGTCGTTTCTAGCACGTCGGTCTCTCTGGTGATCTTCAAATCGAGAAACTTGTCACACAGGGAGCTTCATCGGTCTGGTGGTGTCACTTCACCTCCTCCTGGGGCCCGGCATCTGTCTCTAGCTTGTGTGAAAAGTGGAACCGCCCTGTTGGCGAGAATGTTGACCATGTGTGTTTTTGAGCCATTCCTCAGCAACTTGACCTTCCTTAGGTTTTAAGGATGGAAAACGAGCTCTCCCATTCTGCAGGTTCAGCCCGTTTCAACTGTACTGCAAGGCACAGGAAAAATGTCCTAGACCCTCTGTGTGGGCAGACGTGAGGTCATTCGTGTGGCCCCTGGGGGACACTTGGCAACATCTGGCATCTGAGAGTAGGTGGAGGCTGGTGCACAGCACAGTCCCTGTGACAGGGAGTCAGCCCAAGCCGCCACGTGCCGAGACTGAGACTCCGAGATAATGTGGGGCTGCAGACCAGCGCGGAGGAGCTCGGGCACTGCTCCTGGGCCCTCATCTCTTCCACTCGCCAGCACTCCGCTACCCACGGCAGCGCGATCGCTCTACTGATGGCTCGATTGACCTGTCTGGGTTTAACAGGAGACGGTTCTGGCTGCCCCGAGGTTCGGGGCATCTCTGTTATTTCGCTGTCTTCCTCTCTGTGTCTGCAAACGTGCTTTGATGTCCCTGGACACTTTCTTATTCACTTCCACACGTCACAGCTTTGTCCACTGTGACCCTCGCACTCACAGGCTCGCTGCTCCATTCGAACTAGAAAGCACACAGCAAGGACCAGTTACCCACTGCCGGTGCCTAAGCTCATTTTTCTCCTGATATCCCACTTCTACCTGCCCATCACCTTCTCTTCAAGGGGGAGAGTCATGAGTTATCAGTCTGGTTGTGCTGAAAATCCACTAGGGCCCCTGAGAGCCAGGGGAAAGAGGGTGGGAGGAAGAAGAGCTGATTACATTTCTCATCCTAATTTGCTTCTTTTTGCTTTTCTACTCTGACAGACATTATAATGGCTCCAGCTTCTTGGATTGGGAAAGATTTGCTTATACTGTGTGTAGACAGGGGATGGATTCCTGTGACATTCTTAGTTAATTTGTCCTTAGATCGGTAAGGATTTGCTTATACTACGGGTAGACACTGCCATCTGGTGGTGAATTCATATATGACATTATCAGTTGATTGCTAAGGATTTGCTCATACTACGGGTAGATGCTGCCACCACGTGGTAAATTCGTATATTGCATTATGAGTTGATTTGTCCTTAGATTGGTAAGGATTTGCTTATACTATACGTGTAGACACTGCCGCCTGGTGGTCAATTCTTATATGACACTATCAGTTAATTTGTGTCCTTAGATTGGAAGCTTTTGTTTATTCTTTGTCTAGATACTGCCGCCTGGTGGTCGATTCTTATATGACACTATCACTTGATTTGTGTCCTTAGATTGGGAATATTTGCTATTCTCTGTCTAGTCACTGCCACCCGGTGATAGATTCTTGTACGACATTATCAGCTGACCTGTTCTTAGAAACTTGAAACACTTATGAGTCTCATGGGTGCTCCCAGAAGGCTGGGTTGGGTAACTTCAGGTACCCACACAAGGAGACTCGGCATCCCTCGACTCTCATGGGCACTCCTGAACCCAGAGTCATCGTAGCTTCAGGAAGTTGGACCCTGATGCTCTTCATATGCCCTCGGCCCCTCATTAACGGAGTTCCCTCCACCCCTTTGGTCTCGCTAGAAACCATGCAGCCCAAGGTTGGCCCGGTCAAGCTTTAGTGAGATAACGTTTTAGTCAGATAAAACGAAAGCTGCTGTAACCACGCCACAAGGACGTCTTCCTTTGTGTTTTCAGTCCGTGAGAGCAGGCAGAGGCACGGGGAGTGGGGCAATGGTTGGAACGTCACCTTCCACATCGTTGCTACAGCGCCGTCTTGGCTGGATTTTCAAAGTCAGATGTGTCATGGTTTTGCAGTGCTCCCCTGTGTTGTTCTACCTGCTAGTGTTTGCTAATCAAAATCCATGAGAATGTTGACTGCTCACTCCCCGCTGCTGTTTTTCCTCTGTTCGAAGCTGTTGGCTGAAACTGTGCAGTTTTTCACCTGTGCTTTCTCTACTCTTTTCTCATGCAGCTCGACAGAAACGTCCGCTGTAAGTGGCCCTGGGCTCCCCCAGTCATTGTGTTGCTCGGGCTGTGGGCACACCTTTGTGCTGGGCATCTGTGTGTTTAGGATGGTGGGGTGCACCCAGGGAGGGCGGGACTTCAGCATAGCCTAGCAGTTGTCTTACTGTTGCCCTTTCAGCATTCATGTTCACGATGGCCTCTGAAGTTGTGTAAGAACTTTCATATTTTTTAAAGAGATTTTTGCCTCAGGATGCGTGTGCTTGCCGGAGAGAGAGAGAGAGAGAGAGAGAGAGAGAGAGAGAGAGAGAGGGGGAGAGGGGTAAGAGGGAAAATGAGAACCCCCCACCCTGGGGAGGATGGCCATGCTGCAATCCTTTCTCTTCCATTCTCCTCCTGGGATCTTGGGCACGCGTGCATACATGCCTGGCGTGATCGTCAGGCCGCTGGGTCTGGGACTTGAACGGTGGTTGGCAATGTGGGAGTCCAGTGACATAACCACTATACCATCTGCTGGTCCCAAGAAGTTTTCTAAAAGCTTTGAGCATCTTTCCCCTGTGTGTTTTTCCCAGAATTTCCTGAAATTTATTATTATGAATATTATTATTTAGTTTTTGCTCTCAGAGAGAAACAGAGAAGGACAGGGCGACGGCCATGCTGCAGTCCCCTCCCCTCCAGTCGCAGACTGCGCAGTTGGCCACCTTAACCACCTTGTCACTGCCCGGCCTGGCGTTTTTCCTTTTCATGTGCTGGCTGGCAGCTTTAGCCACAGCCTGCTTGTCCTTGGGTCAGTGATCCCTGGCATTTTACTGAGCGGTCTCAGTGTCTGTCTGGGTGCTGCCTGTCCTTCACGGTGAGTGAGTCGGGGGCTCTGAAGTGAGCGTGCGAGGGCCTGTGAGTCCTCACTCCTGTGGCCAGCCTCATTGCCTCCCAGCCCAGGAGCAGATGTCGGGGCAGGCAGCGTGGGGGCTTGCATGCGCTTTCTTGTCACGGCCTTCCTCCTGGCCGCTCCCGCTCCCAGCTGCTCTGTGACTTGGTTGAGCGTGGGCTGGAGGGGGGTGAGCTCCTGACCTTTCCTGCTGTCCCGGTCAGCTGCCATGGCAGTGAGGGGAGAGGAGGTGGGCAGAGAGGCACCATTGGTCGCGCTGGCGGCAGGTGCCGGGCGTGGGTTCAGCTGGGACTCCCAAGTAGGTTGAGAGAGCTGGCCCGCCGCTAGCTGCCCCAGCAGGGCATCACAGTGTCAGAGTACTTACTCGGTAGCCCAAGAAAGGCCCAGAGACCACAGTGGTGCCGGTAGGGCATCGGGGTGTCAGCACGGCCCAGCTGGGACTTGGAATTTGACCGCGTGCTCTCAGCGCTGAAACGTAGAGACCCTGTGTACATGGGCACAGTTGGCTGTGAGGGGAGGGGCACAGACGGGTACTGAAAGGTTCAAGTTCGGTGCTTCTCTTTGGCTCTTGGTTAAAATGGATATGAAACGAAAACGCACTGCCCAGGCCCCGGCGTCCACACCGGCAGAGCAGTTCTGGGAGAGCAGGGCTGGCCCAGAAGGCTGAGGTGGAGACTGCGGCAG